GCAACAGCTCCATGAGCAGGAGTTGGGCAGGGGTGGGGGCGGTTGCAGGCACAGGGAAACCAGGTAATGTGCATTGGTTGAAGACATCCCTACCTGCCTTCTTGTGTGTACAGCAACATGCAAATGCAACTTGAAATGCAGTGTGTGTGTGTGTGTGTGTGTGTGTAAACAACCTCTCTTTGTGTTAAGCCACGAATGTGTACCTGGTTAGACCTGCAGCGGTTCTCAGGATATCCAGTCAGGTTTGTAGGCAGCTCTTGGGCTGCAAGAGGTATTCTGACTGCTGTTTTTTTTTTATGTGTTGTTACAAAGGTTGCATGCCACCCCCAATCTCTGCCAAGCAGTATCAAGATTCCAGGGGGTTCCAGTGCCGTGTTTCTGTTGGGAATCGAGATGCAGCAGAGGCTGTCATGTCTTTAAGAAATAGGGTTTATTCTACACGTATTTACACTGGAAGCTTTCGGTGGAGGGAGTGCAGAGTTTACAGCATTCGTATCTCCAGAGGGGATTTGTTCCCCGCAGCAGTGCAGCCTTGGATGCCGAGACTTCTCCATGTCTCTGTCCCAGCCTGCCTTCAGCCAGCCCACCAAGATGGTTCTGACCTTCAGCTCCCTGCCTCTCCTTCCCAGCAAACCCCTTGCCATGCAACTCCTCCCTGCTATTCCAAGCCCAGTTTTAAAAGGTGAAAATATTCCTGTGTGACACCATGTCCACGTTGCCCTGGCAAACCCCACCCCATTACCTGTAGGGTCTTTTGTCTTGTAGATGGCTTAATGCAGTGGTGTCCAAACTTTTTCCAAAGAGAGCCAGATTTGATGAAGTGAAGGGGGCCGACCAAAGGGCCAACCAAAGTTGTTAATCTTTTTTTTTTAGGATTGAAGTGAAGTTCTTGAGCTTTTTGTAAAAAGTTGATGAGCCTTTTTTTAAGGATTGAAGTTGTTGTGGTTTTTTAGGATTTTGCCCCAGGAAATAAACTGCCACAGGGGCCAGATTAAACCAACCAGTGGGCCAGATTAGGCCACTGAAATGGACTTTGGACATGCCTGGCTTAATGGCAAGGGCATCATCTCCCTCTGCCCCTCTGGGAGAAAAATAAGCTCAGCCTGTCAGCCCTGATTAAATTGCAACACTCAAAGAATCTAGAGAGGGAAATCTGTCACCCAGGGATCTAGGGGGGATCCCTGTTCCCACACTAACCCGTAATAAAGGTAAAAGGTAAAGGTACCCCTGCCCGTACGGGCCAGTCTTGACAGACTCTAGGGTTGTGCACTCATCTCACTCTATAGGCCGGGGGCCAGCGCTGTCCGCAGACACTTCCGGGTCACGTGGCCAGCGTGACATCGCTGCTCTGGCAAGCCAGCACAGCACACGGAACACTGTTTACCTTCCCGCTGGTAAGCGGTCCCTATTTATCTACTTGCACCCGGGGGTGCTTTTGAACTGCTAGGTTGGCAGGCGCTGGGACCGAACGACAGGAGCGCACCCCGCCGCAGGGATTCGAACCGCCGACCTTTCGATCGGCAAGTCCTAGGTGCTGAGGCTTTAACCCACAGCGCCACCTACGTCCCTCCAACCCGTAATACTATGTATAAAATAAATTTACTGCTCTCGTAGACGGGTTATGTTGTTTTCCTGTTACCTTTGTTTCATTCATACTCATGAACATACGTAACTAATAAATTGTGGAAGAGGAAGAGGAAATGACTAGGTATCGTAAAGGTATTCTTACCAAATTAATTTTACAGTAAACCTAGTCCTGGGCAGTGTTTATATCAGTGGCCTTCTCAGTCTGTGCACTTAGCTAGCTAAGCTGTTTTTCCAGAAGGTCATTCCATAGTAAATGGGCTTAATTTATAAGGTTCCACATTGGTTGGGTGAATTTTTTGGGAGGGGAGTCAGGGGCTTTCTGACACACAGGTACACAAAAGTTCTAGAATTAAAATTGAGTCATCTCTGGAACACAAAATAATGCAAACTTTTAACGAATTCAGCTCTTAACTAGCCACTTGGTGATTTGTATCCATTTGTCACATTTAATAAGATACCAATTTATGAAGCTAGACTGAACAATGGTTGTTGTTTTTTTCTGTGCATGTAAATTAGTTCAGTAGTAAAATGTTCCCAGATCAGTCCAAATGTAGTTTATACAGTTGAAATGAGCTGAAAACCCGAAATAATGTCTTCCTCTTAAGAATGAGCTGCTCAAATCTTACAAGTAGCTCAAAGGTACCCGCCATGAGCTACTTACCCAAGAGAGATGTTCATTTGTAGTGATGGGCTTATTGGGTATCAGCCAGGTTAATGCTGTCTAATCTTGAGCAATAAAGAACAGATTTGACTACTTTTAATCCAACCAGAGAAGGCAACATAATGGTCGGAAGAGCCAATTCCCTCACTTTGCATCTTGTTCGACCTGAAGATTTCCTCTTCCCCTTGTTTTTGAGCCTAGATGGGCACCGTGTGGCAACGGACTTCAGGGGCAGGAGAATGTTGTGGTGGGCTTATTATGGCTTGAAATCTGTGTGCTTCTTACTCTGAGCATGTACTGTAACAGTACTTCACTAGGTCTAGAGTGTTCAAAGCCTTAAAACCCTTTCTATGTATTTCTTAAGATAGACAGTATTGCTTATCTTTTTTTTTTTAAATAAATTTTTATTGGTTTTCCAAACAAAATAAACACAAACAATACACAATACACAAACATATAAACATGTATAATTTCGTAACCTTTTTTTCATACATCTTGCTTCCCGGACTTCCCCATACCTCCCCTTTTCTGCATCCTTGTTTCACATTTCTTCAGCAACTCCTCCAATTAACTAATTATTAAGTTCACTTTCATTAAATTCTTTTTTCTTTAACTTATTGATTACAGCTGCAGTTCTCTATTTCTTAGTTCCTTGACATCTTAACACTCCTCAATTTTACAACAATTTTTAAGATATATTTTAAATCTCCTCCAGTCTTCTTCCACTGTCTCTTTCCCCTGGTCACGGATTCTGCCGGTCATCTCTGCCAGTCCCATATAGTCGATCACCTTCGTCTGCCATTCTTCCAGAGTGGGTAGTTCTTGTGTCTTCCAATACTTTGCCAGAAGAATTCTTGCTGCTGTAGTGGCATACATAAAAAACATCCTATCCTTCCTTAACACCAATTGGCCGACCATGCCCAGGAGAAAAGCCTCTGGTTTCTTATGAAAGGTACATTTAAGGACCTTCTTAATTTCACTATAGATCATTTCCCAAAGGCTTTAATCTTCGGGCAGGTCCACCAAAGGTGGTAAAGGTACCTTCAGTCTCATTGCATTTCCAGCATTTATTATTGGGCAAGTGGTAAATGACAGTATTGCTTATCACAACCATCACAATAGTCTGCCTCCTTCCAGGTCCGACCATCTCCTTTTTGTCACTAAGGATATTATCCAACAAAGTCGCCCCATTAGCACAAGGACTTTTGCTGCGCAACAAGACTTCTCCTCCTCATGTGCCCCTCAAATCTGTTCCAGAGAGTTGAAGAACCTCTAGAGCAAATTCTTTTATTGGAGGAGAAGAGGAAGAGCGCATTGTGTAGGCAGAAGTCATTGTGCTAACAGGACAACTTTGGATACAACCCCCGTTTTAAAAGTTTCAAATTATCTATTCAAACAAACAGATTAAGGGAAGCCAGTGCATCAAGTAACTTTGGAAAGAAAGTTCTTGTTTTGAATGTTGTCATAGAGCATGGGTAGGCAAACTAAGGCCTGGGGGCCGGGTCCAGCCCAATCGCCTACTAAATCCGGCCTGCAAACTGTCTGGGCATCATCGTGTTTTTGCATGAGTAGAATGTGTCCTTTTATTTAAAATGCATCTCTGGGTTATTTGTGGGGCATAGGAATTCATTCATTCCACACACACACCCAAAAATAGTCTGGCCCCCACAAGGTCTGAGGGACAGTGGACCGGCCCCCTGCTGAAAAAGTTTGCTGACCCCTGTACAGAGCCTCTAGGGCTGTGGGTATGTAACGGTGGCAAGAGTATAAAAATTGGAGGAATATTCCTACAAATGTGAAACAGTTGTATATTTATTAGTACAGTATACATTATGCTAAAAAAACACAGTTTTTTTGTAAGGGCACCTGCCAGAAACATGAGAGAAGTTGCACTACTACATCTGGGGAATGTTGCTTGATAAAGCCATGTTGGAAATGAATCTTTGGCAAAACTGAGCAATACATGATTGCCAATTAATCAGCTGTGGTACTGAGAGCACCCAAATGTTTAATGTGGCTTGTTAGAATTGATTGTCAATGAGCAGAGCACAGTAGTGAAAATCCTAATAATGCTTAGCAATGCTGGAATTGTAGGAAGGGGCACAGTGTACATCCTGGTTTTATCTTCCCACTATCTTTTTATATATTTCTCATGTTTGAATGATAATCCTTTTAATGGACTCGAGAGGTCCCTTAACTTCAGGGTTTGTGTTTTTCATTATAAAGCTGAGAAACTCCGCAATTAAGAGGGAAAAGATTGCTAAACCTAGTTGGAAGTGTCTATGTTGGAAAGCAGAAATGGTAAAGCTGTAATTTGCAATGGAAATTTGTACATGGAAGTGCCTGTGGTGCAAATTTTATGTTAAATATGCCATTAAAACTGCTTTGAAAATGAAATTGAGCAAGCTGTTGCATTTGAGATTGCAGCATTGTGAGTATATGCTAGAAAGGCACTGCAATATTATGGTAAGCTTTTTAAAATAGAAATGTGTGGGAAAAGATGCTGCTAGATCAGGCTAATGGATAAGCTACAGTATTTATTTAAAAATATAGCAATAGAACACTTGCTGACAACTTGGCAAACTGCATATAAGGAGTCTTCCTTGTTTTGAAGTACTTTGCTTCCCGCAGCTATCAAAGTAATGCCCAAAAGCACAAGTTTGACAAAGAATTACTTCATACGCCTAATTTACTTGTACTCTTGACGTTTACGACGTTCAAAGTTGTTGCTTCTTGTTTCTGTGTTCTGCAGTTGACAGGGGCAAGCAGAAGAGTCCCAAGAACTCATTCATACAAACCCGCAGTTCATCTATCGAAGTGCATCCGCCAGAAACAAAACAACACGAGCTGACACAATACAAAAAAAAGTGTGAGAACCAAAGTGGACTTATCCAGCGATTGAAGAAATGCTTGGGCATCAGTCATCAGAAATTTGAAGCGTTGGCTATTGTGATCCAGCACTTGGAGTCCGAGGTAAAGTTAATTCAGAGTTTTGAATGCACATTTAATTATTTAGTATTGCTTGCGTTTTACATCTTTTCTACATTTGATTTGATTTGTGCTGAAAAAATATCTAAATATGAAGGAACTTGGATGTTTATAGGCTTTTATTGTTGCACACCACCCCAATTTCCAAGCGGGGCGATATTTCAGGGGTTCCAGGTGCTTATTCAGGGTTCGTGTTTCCTTTGGAATGAGGGATATGTATATGCAACCTGAGCTTACGATGGAGGGGTTCTCAGCATCAGTACCCAAAAACGGCCATGCTTCTCCCATAGCCACAGCCTTTGATTCCAACAGAAATGAGGCATCTCTCTCTGTCTCTCTAGCTTTCCAACCTGCTTCCAACTCACATAACTAAAAACTCCCAACTCTGGCTTTTGTTTGTCAAGTTGAGAGAAGAGGGCCCATCCATTTGTTATCTGGCACAGAGCCACTTCCTTTGTTACCTTAATGGCCCATACTTAGAGGGCCATTACCAAGAAACTTGTCTGGCTGTTTCAACAATTTGAACCCTTAGTTAGATTTCAGCACTTGCTAGATCCAGGAATTTAAAGGGTTTCAAGCATACTGCCTACCTGCCACAAATAATAGTACTATAATAACACAATAATGCATTCAGGGAATATTTGAGAATTGATTCTCCACTCCTCCCTCCTCATAGGTGTACTCAAATTGGGATGTTCTACCATAAATAGATGTTGGTGTATTGCCTAGCCCTGGATAGTTGGGAAGATGCTGTCTTCAGATGATGGGTGTTCATCCTATGTTCCATCTCAGAATAAGAGAGAAGCAAGGAAAAGGCATCACTCCTGTTTCACACTGTGTGTATTGGGTGGTGTGTGAAATCACGATGAAGGAGTAGCCGAATAGCCCCATATACAGATTAGCAGAAGTCAGGCAACTGCCCATTTACTGTAAGGGCTATTATCTCCTGAGAGCATGGAATATTTCAAAATACAAGGCAAACAGGGCAAACAGGTCTGCAATGTGTTAAATGTGTCAAATGCGTTGTTAAACAACAACGCATACTTTGAGATCTTTCATGGTATAGTATCAAATGATTAAACGCATAACTGCGCACTGCAATTAAGTGGCATGCTGTGTATATAAGTTGTAATTTGAATGCCTTTGTTTTTAAAGCATAAATTAGCTCTGCACCGCTCTTACCAGTTAAATCTGCTCAGACGATACAGAATCTGACATCTAATTCTTGTAAATGTTAAGTATGCTGAGAGGAAATGGTCACAGATTGCAATGCTATTTGCAAGTTTCTTTTTCTCTGTATTGACAGCACTTCACCCAAATTTACCTTTTAGATAGTTTGTCTAACTAACCCTGAAAAGTTGAAAGTTGTTATGTCTGCGGTCGTAAGCCAATAAAGTTGAAGCTTTTAATTCTAAACAAATATCCCAGCTTTCAGAATTTTGGAATGCTAAAGTTACCCATTCCTACTCTGATAAAAGAGAAATTGGATAGGGTTTTTTTTTAAGTTCAGCATTAGAAGAAATAAGAATGGACGATGCAATGTTGTTTACTTTTCCAACTGATATATGCAAAGAAAAACCCATCTCTTAAAAAAAGCAATATAAAAGCAGTCAAGTCTTGTCTGAACTGGAAGAGCATACTAAGTGCACCAGCTATTTTGGAAGTTAATTATCCTTAATTATTCGCTTTATCTGGCTAGGCTAGACACTTAGTTGTGTGAAATAAAATTAACAAACATCTTAAAAGGCCAAAACTGCATAACATTTTAAAAAGAAGCCAACCATTAACACATCTCAGCTAAACTAAATATGAAGTATTCTCCTTACAGCCTTCATTTCCCTATGCCATGTTTCTCCCGCTTCTTCCTCTTTTCCTTCATCTTTACCCACTGCAGCCTCTTCTTTACATTGGCGGTGTCCCGCTTCTCCTCTTCCTTTCAATCCTGTTCATCTACATATACAGTGGTACCTCGGGTTACATACTCTTCAGGTTGCATATGCTTCAGGTTACAGACTCTGCTACCCCAGAAATAGTGCTTCAGGTTAAGAACTTTGCTTCAGGATGAGAACAGAAATCGGGCTCCGGTGGCACGGCAGCAGCAGGAGGCCCCATTAGCTAAAGTGGTGCTTCAGGTTAAGAACAGTTTCAGGTTAAGAACAGACCTCCGGAATGAATTAAGTACTTAATCTGAGGTACCACTATATTATTATTATTATTTCACACAAACATGAATACCAACCAACACACACACACACACACACACACACACGGCAAAACAGGCACAGGAAGCTTTGGGCAGCATTCTCATTCATACCTATAGTCATTCCAATCCTTCCCATGTCTGGAATGCATGGCTGTCATTGCCCATTACTCTGGGCCGTTCAAGCATGGATGTTTCCCAATGTTGTTTTTCCCTCCCCGATGATTCAAATCCACATTTTAGTGATGGATCCATGTAGCTCCGGGAATAGCAATGTTCTCAAGGCTAGCTCTCTGAGCCTCGGTTCTGAAATGAAAATTGCCTTGTCTCTCAAAGTTGTCCTTAGGGTGTGACTACGACAGATGTGTAAACTACTTGGCAGAATAGATCAGCAGCATTGTATAGGCTGGGCAGTGACCTTTCCGTGAGTTTAATTTAAAGATCATTCCTCTCATGGAATCTCCCATGCAAAGGTGCGAATGCCACCTTAGAGTCATGGGAAGGTCTTCAAGAATGCAGAACCATTATTAGCTTGTATTTTGCAAAGTTAATAGGATTTTTATTTTATTTTTAACCCTCTGTGCTTTGTTGGTCAGGAGGACCCATTAATTTCATTGTGAGGCTAGATTCAGAAATGTTGTTTACAAAGGTGAAAATGAGTAGTACTCACCCTATGGTAAATGATGGGCCATTTTCCTTGTTCTGGGCATTTTGTGTTCTTTTATTGGCAACCTGGGTTTTAATAGAATTTCTCACCAATAATATTTCTCTTAAATGCATACCTTATGGATTGCTTCAAGCAGTATTTTAGAAGCATATGCAGTTGGCAAGTTTAAAAAATAAGATATATAGCACTGCAGTTCTGAACGCATTAAATGCTTGGCCAGATGCCAGTGACCTCTCAGTGAACTGTCTATCCTCATGTAGCACAGTTACTTCTAAGTATTAATTTATTACACTTGTCAGTAGTCTCTGAATGGTTAACATGCATCCAGTGGCGTAGCGTGGGTTGTCAGCACCCGGGGCAAGGCAAGTAATTTGCGCCCCCTAACCCTGAGTGAGCCAGATGGGGCAGAGAGCTGCGAGTGCGAGCACCCCCCCCAGATGTTGCGCCCGGTGCAGCCGGCCCCTCCTGCACCCCCCACGCTACGCCACTGCATGCATCAGGTTTGGCTGGTTGACTTTTTCAGGCAAAAGTTGATGGAATTTGACAGTATCTCATCTGTCACTTTGCTTTTTAAATTCTTCAGATTTTGGGATGTGTGGGTGATAGGACAGGCAATTCTAATGAGCAACACTCATACCAAATTTGAAAAGTCTGCTTATTCATAGAGTTAATTCATAGTGCTGTAGCTGTGTTCCCTTCCCAGTTCGTTTTTCAGATATTTGTTCATTGAGAGCATCAACAGATGGGGTGGGGCAGGGGAAAATAGATGGCAAATTGTAAGAAACCTTAGCGCTGCTCCCCGACCTGGCTTTGAGGCTGGCGCTTCCCCATCGCCTGCCCAGAGGATGGGGGCAGCGGGAAGGCGCGCGACGCCTTCCCGCTACTCTCCGACCCGGCTTTGAGGCTGGCGGTGGGGAAAGCAGCGCTTCCCCCATCGCCAGCCCCAGAGATTGGGGGCAGCGGGAAGGCGAGCGACGCGTTCCCGCTACTCTCCAACCCGGCTTTGAGGCTGGCGGTGGGGAAAGCAGCGCTTCCCCCATCGCCAGCCCCAGAGATTGGGGGGCCGCGGGAAGGCGAGCGACGCCTTCCCGCTACTCTCCAACCCGGGTTGGAGGCTGGCGGCGGGGAAAGCAGCGCTTCCCCCATCGCCAGCCCCAGAGATTGGGGGGCAGTGGGAAGGCGAGCGACGCCTTCCCGCTACTGTCCAACCCTCCTGTGGGCTTTTGCGGGAGATGGGGGAATTCCCCCACCTCCCGCAAAAGCCGTGCGCTCTTTAAAGGGGCTCCCGGCTTCTGCTGGCTTTTCTAGGAGGTGGGGGAATTCCCCCACCTCGTAGAAAAGCCCACAGGAGCCGCGCAGCCTTTAAACAGCGTGCCGCTCTTGGGGGCTTTTCCCCAAGGTGGGAGAAGGGACTGACTGGCCGTTTCAGTCCCTTCTCCCTCCTGGTCGAAAAGCCCGTAGGAATCGCGCACAGCTCCTGTGGGCTTTTGCTACACTATCACTTCAGCCTACAGGTGGTCTGAATGTTCCTCCAAACAGACAGAAAACCCTTCATAGCAAACCAAAGAACCCTGACATAATAGGGAGAAGCGGGAACCCTGCTCCCAGCCACCCACTTCTCTACATGTGGGGAGGGGGATTTGTCTATTTTGTATAGTCATGTGAGTTACTATATTCAGTAGTCAAGAAACAGGTTTCTCATCTGTTCTTTGTTTGAACTTGGCTTTAATGTGATGTCATCATTTAAATTGTCGATGAAACACAGACTTCAAACTGGTTCAGTTTTTTCCGTGGGAATATTTGCATTTGAAGTCTGTCAGGAGTGGGAGATAATAGTGAGTATCAAGATGGAAAACTTTCAGGAATAATTTTCTTAAGAATAATAATTGCTTGAAGTGTTTCGTTCAAAGGTGTGTTGTGCATTTTTATGCTGACATGCACACTGGTTTTGAAATGGAACAATTGCTGGACCTTCTACTTGAAAAAGCAATGAGGTCACAATACTATATTAGTGATGCCTCTGTTGTTGTGGCAACTATTGATGTCATCACCTTTGTCTTTAATCCTTTAACCTTATACTGAGAGAAAGATTGAGGTGGGCTCATTGTTTCCTAAACA